TATCAAAGGACGCTAAGTCCATTAAAAGCTATGTGTTTACGTAGGCCAGTGCAGTTGGTTTTATGGAAATTCTCGAAATGATTTGTGATAGCTAAGATCCGACGGGATCTAAGCTGAGAGCCTTAGACTCGTGTCGCGAACGAGTAGGCCGAATGGCTATGCCATTTTTCGGGAATGTTCCCAGAGGTAAACTCGTACCTCCAATTTGTGTGCGTTGCGATAGTCAAGCCAAAACTAGTTAAGTATAGAGTTAGATGTGGAATGGTAAGTCTAGACTTATAAGTCGTTGACATAATACCATTAAACAATTTCTCACAATAGGGGTTATCTCTATTGACTACGTGATGTCAAAAGATAACGTAGCGGCCGCTAACTCGCTAAACCGAGGGTAAGCAAATGGTTGTTGAGAAATTGGAATGAGGAATGGGTCTAAAGCCCTTGGACTAAAAGTTTTATAGTGGATACCCAACCTAGCTAGCACCTAGGTTCAATGGGACAACTAAGTTATGAAACGGAGCGTGTCACTGTGGGGGTCTCGGACTCCCTATCACTCCTCGTTAGGAACAGTGACTCCCGCACGAGGTTAGCATGTTGATGCTTTAATGATTCGAATGTCGGTTGACATACGTGAGTATGCGGGATACTTGGAAAAGAATCACCTATGTGAGAGAGAAGTGAGGGTCGCTTCAAAGGAGAATTGATGGGCACAATTCTTCACAAACTCTTGCAGAACCAGGACGGTGACCCACGACCAAAATGGGCACACTCATGAGAACAGAGCATGGTTGGGAGGTTCCTGTGTGAGATATGTCATCGTCTACACAAACGACAGTCGGTTCAAAGACATCGCGTTCTACCGTACAGCTAGTAGAGTAAACATGTCTTCACAAGGGAAGGTTCAAAGGGTATAGTGATCCCTACCTATCCTATGCAGGTTGTGGGATTGCAAATCAAATCGCAGAATGAGATTGAAAAGGCTTGGATCAAGCCTAATATTTATAACCTTAGCTTGGTTCTAGTACAGATTACTCCTTCCTTCCTTGCGGCTATGAATCAATAAAAAAATAGTAACATTTTGGTAATTTCAATGATATGCTGGTGCATTTACATATGCTTTGTGGTACTTTGGATCAAATGTACCGCCAAGCATTCCCGTGTAAGACTGGCATTTGGTGGTGCACCACAGACCATCCCGTAGTGTACCACAGACCATCACTTAGTACACAACAAAAATATACTTGGTGTAAAAAATTATCAAAATGTCTTCACATTTTTTCCTTTTCTTTTTTATTGTAATTTATCTGAATTCATCTAACGGTTTCGATCTGTCCTAATATATATATATATATATAGTGCTTTGAATTAAAGTAATTACATATGAGGAATTAATGTGGTGGAGAGAAGCAGAATTTTGTTGCTTTAATTAAGATTATTATAATATATAGTATGTAAATATGTAATCTAGAATGGCGTCTAAATGCAGCGTGGAAATGGTTGTGGTCCGCTGTGGATGACACCCGCGCTGACGAATTTGATCTGCCCAAGTGAGCTTCCAGGAAAGTCACCTAAAGTCACGGTTCAAACAGGTATTACCTCGTACCTAGTACTCACCTTTAATACATCGTATACATTTCTATACACCTGTATTTCAAATATATACTATATATTTGAAATATTATATACTTTAGTTTGAATATAATTTAACCATGGACAAGATTTAAAGTTAAATTTCTTGTGAAAATTGTATATTCGTTCTCTCTTTTTAGTTTAAGTCAATCAGTTATGAATAACTTAACATGATTTATCTCATTATAGTCATTTACCGAGCTAGTGTCACACTTAAAGCGTTATGGGCTTTCCAGTAAATTGAAGAATTAAAAAAAAAATGACTAAAAAAATGTATATATTTGTTGAAGCCGAATAAGTTTAAAGAGCTTTGTACCATATTTTCACAAAACAAGAATCAAATTCCAGTTAACATTATTCGCTCTTAATATGAATTAGTCTGACAATAATAAAAGTATTAAGTATCGTACGAACAAATAAATGTGTTTTCTCAAGTAAAAATTAAATACTATAAGTACAATTTTAAATGAAATCTAAATTAATTTTGCATTGATGAAATAAAAGGCGTAGTATAAATTTGAAAAAAAAAAAAAAAAAAAAGTGAGCATAATGGGTGTACGGTAGAGAGTATGGGGAGACACAATACGACATAGAAAATCTCCAAAAGATTAGTTGAGTCCAGACACTATACACACACAGACAACACACCAAAACACACGGACAAATTCAAGGCAACTAAACAATAATGATTTCAAAGTGGACCACCAATCTATGATATATCCATCCCAATGATTCACCTCAAGACTTTGCCGACGACCAATCATGATAACGTGTCTACAAAGCAAAATATATTCAAAAATATATGTTTCTGCAAATAATTAGCATACATTATCTCCTCCTAAATCCTTTGATTTGGAATACACTAATCATCGCAACTACTTGAATGTTTGCTCTAAGTGAAACTCTCATTATGATTATAGTCAACAAAAGATTATAAAGAGGTAAATTAATTATTTAAATGTGCGCTTTGAGTAAAATCTGTTTTGTAACTTTAGCCAGCAAAAGATTATAAAGGAGGTAAATCAACTATTCAAATGCGCGCTCTGATTGAGCTCTGTCTTGAGGTAAATCAGATCAAAGCAAGAAGTTCAATAGACAATTCTAATGAAAAGTTGAAAAGGTTCAATCCCCAACCCCACGAGCCCCCATGCCCCGGCCCGATAAAACATCTAGGAGAATGTAAATCATGGTAACTCAACTAAACATTTGCTTGAAAAGGTTGAATCTCCAACCCCACGAGCCCCCATGCCCCGGCCTGATAAAACATCTGGGAGGATGTAAATCATAATAACTCAACTAAACATTTGCTTCTACACTGTCACTGGTGAGACTCAATTCTAAGATCATTATTTTCAAACTCTACCTCTATGACCAAGTGATGCCCACGATGTTAATCTAATCAAATTCTAGGGGTGAATGGTCACGGAGACATGGCTTTTTTAAAAAAGAAAAAAATAACATTTTTCGGTGAGAATAAATCTGGACCGTTGACGTAGGACTTTGAACTAAAATGTTTGGACCATTTCATGGCGGATAACGCAAAACCCACTTTTTTTTTTTTTTCCGTCACCCCCACCACCCTTTTGTCCGAAAAGAAAATACATTTTTTTAGTGTACTTTTTGGGATGCTTTTGAACGCATACGCCTACTTTGTTGCCATGGCCTAAAGTCCACCTGAAGCTTCCTATGTTTTCATCATGACATTATGACATTTCTCCCACGGGCGCTAAAAGTTTAATATCCCACATCATTTCCGCACCATATTCCCTTTTTATCCTTACTCGCCTCCTCATTCACTGCTCACCCGTCTCATTTTGTATGTCATGTTATTATAATAGTATTTTAACATACAATTACAATTACTCCAGATAAATTAATATTGCATTTTGAGAAGTTGAATAATTATAAATATTAGATATTACCGATATTTTAATTTATTTAAAAGAGAGTGACACTTTTATTCTTAAATTATAGTAAAATACAGAATAACACTTTTTGCGTCTTAATTATATTGTCAATATTTTTCTATCTCAATTGTTTACAAAGTAATTTTTTGTTCGTTCTTAGTAATATACAAAGTAACTTTTTAACCTAATTTTAACAAAATTTGATTTAAAAAATTATTTTGTAGATAATTGAAAGATGAGATGTGTTAATTAATAATTTAAAAGAAATTTTTTTTATTTCTCCTTTCTTTAACGATGGGTACATTAAAAAAAAAAAAGCATGAACGAGAATAGATTTTAGAAAATTATGCAATTAAGGTATATATGTGGATCATACTATCAATTAATAATGTACACTTAGTATACAAATAATGTATTTTTAGTATATTAAAAATTATATATTATATTCAAAAAAATATATTACTTGAATATTGAAAGTACATTATTTTATATAATGTACATTCAATATATAAATAATGTATTTTTATTATATTAAAAATATACTTTTTGTTATGATTCATATAGCACGGTGTGAATCATGATTTATACAATAATTTGTCCATAAGACGTAAGAGGGCCACAAGGCGTGGGAAGCATGAGGGGATCACGTGATGCGTGACCCACCGGTCGCCTAAAAGTCGGGTTTCCACGAGGCCCATGACGGGCGTCCAAGAGAGAGAGAGAGATGAGTTTTATGGGGATTTCAATTATTTGTTTTTTAAAATGGATATTTGAGAATTCCTTTCTTTCAGTACACGCCAGTGAGGAAGGAGGGGTGGGTGGTTGGGGAGGGGGGGTGGGTGTTGACACTTTCTAAATCAGAAAACTAACAGAAGAAGAGGAGACAAATACACGTGAGCGCCACATCACATAACCACCAACTGAATTACGAGTATCATTATCTTTCTCTTTTTGTTTGGTTAAAGCCATAATCCCCTTCACATTTCCACTATCCCCTTCCCTTTTCTTGGAATTATACCAAACGCAACTTTTATACTGTATTTCATATTTCCATCCATTCCCTCTTTTTACAGTCACATTATTATCTCTCTTTACCCTCAGTAATATCTCACTTCACTCATCGTCGGCATTCTCAAAAAAATATTCATTTTTCTTTTCAAGAAATCCAGATCGACTATAAGATAACATATACTAGGTAAATCAGTCTTATAATTGTAGTCGATAAATTATCACAAAGAGATTAATAGACTGTTACTGTTTGAAATCAAACTTGTAATATTGTGATTACCAAATCAACAATCTGATCAAATTTAGTTGAGATTGTTTATAATATTTTTTTAAAATTTTATTAATGAAGATGGAAGGTTCATATTCAATATCCGGAATCATTTGTCCTTTGCACTTTTGCTTGAATCATCTATCCCACCACAGTAATTGACGAAAAAGAAGAAATTAAAGAGATAATTAAGGCAATAATCACTTCAATTCATATATGTATAGTATAATATGATCCATTAGTAATTAAGATTTACAAAAACATATGATCTTCTAATTTAATATGACAAAGAAAGAAATTAAAGAGATTGATTAGTAATCTCTATTTTTTTTTTGGGATGTTTCTACAGATGAACTAATTAACATACAGCGCTAATTACCACTTTGGGATGATGACAAGCCCTCACCAAAAAAAGGTGGGTGGGGGGGACGTTTCAGATTGTACTATAATATATCCACTATGATATTTATAGAGGCTAATAATTAATGATAGTTTTGATGATGAAATAATTATAGCAAGCTAAGCAAGCAGGGGCGGAGGTGATGATGATTGGTTAAAACACGTAAAGTAACTAACAGGCTGCGGAGGGGTTGGTGAAGGCGGGGTTGAAGAAATGGGGCTTCGGAGCCATGGTAAAAGGGCTCTTGTTGGAGGCTTCCACGGCGGCGCCGCCGATTCTCTCGCAGGAAGGGCACATCGTCAGAGTCGCCGCCGGCAGCTGCATGTAGAACGGCTGCGCTAGCTTCAGGGCTTTTAGCTCCTGGACCTCCTTCTGTAGCCGCCGGTTCTCGTCGGTTAGCGTCTCGCAACATTTCTTCAGGAACTCGCAGTCGACTTCTGTCTGCTTCAGCTTCGTTCTGTTAATTAAGGAAAATTTAAACATCGTTCAGATGTCGGAGCATAGAATACAGAGATCGATTGAGTACGATGATCTGATCGATCTAACCTGGCGCGTCTGTTTTGGAACCAGACTTCCACTTGTCGAGGCCTGAGATTGAGTTCCCTGGCTAGATCTTGCTTCTGTTTCTGGAATTCCGAGGAACAAATTGAACAATCATCATCAATTTTCTCATCAACGAATTTAGATGAAGCAGAGATTAATATTATTATAGGTACGAGGTAGCTAAGTACCGGATTGAGAGTGCTGTGTTGCTTGAAGCTTTCTTCCAAAAGCGCGGACTGTGCTTTAGTGAGCCTGAGCTTCTTCCTGCAGTTACCGCCGTCGTCATCCTCGTCGCTGATGACTCTCGACGAAACTCTCTCCATCTCCGCCTCCTCGCTCTCCCTCTCCCGCTTCACGCTAGCGTTGGAGTACGAGGAAGCCGCGCTGTCCTGTCGGTACAAATCAGTAGCGGACTGATCTACACAAACCTTATTGTTCGCCGCGGCGACCACCTTCTTAACCGCCTGACGATCAAACGTTTCACCGGACAGGCTGAGCGTCAAGGACGGCTCGAAGCTCATCGGCGGCGGTTTCCTGGCGGCCTTGTGAACTACGTCAACCTTGGAGGCCTGATCGGAACACGAAAAGCCTAATCCCAAGACAAGGCCGGTGCTACAGATATCATCAAAACCCATCTATATATATATGTTTGGCAGAGCGAGCTAGCTAGGAACGAGAGACACGGGAATTAAGGTTGTAGTGCGAGGTGAAAAAACAAATGGTTGGGGAGATGAGAGTGGGGGAAGAGGGGTTATATAGGAAGACTTGGGGAGTTACTTTTGGTTTGTTGAATTGTATATATTTAAGAGTCTTGGAAGGGCAATGGAAAAAGAATTGAATTTAATTTGAGGGAGACTTTTGTGCTGTGTTGGGGTGGTAGCTATCTATCTTCTATCTGTGATGATTAATAATCAAATAATAATCAAAGCAATGAAATGAGTACAGAAACGAATATGTTGTGTGGAGAAATTATTATGATTTCAGACTCTCTCTCTTAGGAGGAATTCTATTTAATAATAATAAATAACCTTAATTCCCTCTTGTCTTTGCTTTTCGACTACTCAAATTCTTACAGGGCCGCTGTCTCCGTGAAGCAAGCGGATCGGAGGTAGCGTCCAATCTTCTTTCCTTGCAGCCATTCTCCACCGCAGACAGTGTCCGCCTTCATTGTCTTCTCTGCCTTCACTGTTTTTTCTTTCATTATCCGCCTAGCACGGCTATTCCCCTTTTACTTTGTTTTACTGGTTTAATTTGGTTTGCTGTTTCTGTGTTTTTCCTCTCGTTGTTTTGACAAGTTTACTTCATCTCGTTTACTTGGCGAGTTCTTTTTCATTAAGCGTGAAACAATAAAACTGGTTATGACGTATGTGAATGTCCTCCTGAGTGACAAACATGACAATAAAAAAGAGATTCATCTGAACTATGATATGCAGTTCAACCCGATGGAGATATTGCCCAGGGATAGAAGAATGGAAATAGATACTCAAGTGGCGTGCAAGACTATTCAACCACGGTTAGTTTTGGGTACGTTTGACCAAATCATTAAAGAAGCTTTAAGTTCCTCCCAAGAATCCAGCTTCAAATGTGTGGAATAGTTAGCGAATTAAGTTTTCTTTAGCATTGCTACGAAAGTTATTTCTATGTCTGACGGTAAAGAATGTTTAACCATTCTATCGATCTTTATTACAAATATTTTCAGCCTATGATTAATGAATTAACTCCTTTATTTTAAAAAAAATATTATAATAATAATAATAATAATAATAATAATAATAATATTATTATTATTATTATTATTATTATTATTATTATTATTATTATTATTATTATTATTATTATCCACACTAAAATTTACATTATTATCTCATTATTAATACAAAAAGTCAACAAATATAAAATTTTATAATAAGTACGCCATATAATACTCATTACAAATTATGTAATTTATCAATACGATAAACACAAACATGTCCTGATTGGATTTACCACTTACATAAACTAAGGTTAACATTATCTCTTAAATTTCTCCCACACTAAAAAATAGATTGACTTCTACGTCATCCAATTTATAAATCATTTACTATTCTCACTACATTCCTACAATTATGATAAGTTCATATTGCCCTTAGGGTTAGGGTTCAGCCTTTTGGAAGAATGATAAGTTCATATTTAAAAATAAAAAATAAAAACCAACAACACAAAAATAGTCACCTCTGGAGTTACACCAAACCTGAACAAGATTAATTTTAGTGTGTAGTCCTATTTAACTAGTTAAGAAAACTATGGTGAGATAAAATAAATAAATAAATTAGAGCAAATGATTTAAAAAAAAAAAATGAGAAAGCCACAATCACTACATTTGAAAGTGGCTCAGAGTGAATTCTGCTTGCGACTTTAGCTGATAAAAGATCATAATGAAGTAAACCAACCTAAGTTGTCATAGCTGATCGGCTCAAATGGTATTTTTCTTATTTAATTGTTTTAATTTTGAACAAAAGGCATGATGTATAACTTTTTTGGGAAAATGACACTTTTTATGCTTATAGCGTTTTTGACCCCTAGATTATTCATGTATCCACATTAGCATCTCAGTTATTTTAAAAGTGTCTGATTTTCACCCTTTATATTAAGTGGAATTTTTTATCCTTAAAATAAGGACATAAAAGTATTTCATTTATTTTTTTTTCTACAACAAATTATTGTTTATATGTGAAATCAAAATAAATGCGAAAAAGAAAACAAACACTATGCAAATATTATAATTATAATTGTAAACAAATGCTAGAAAATACTTAAACACAAATAATTCATTCAACGTGTTTAAGTATTTAAAAGACACCATTTGTAAATATTATAATTTTAAACTAATACTAGTAAATAATTAAACACAAATAATTCACTAGCATTTGATTCTCACATATAAGCAATACTTTGCTGGAGAAAAAAAAAATACATATTTTGTCATTATTTTAAGGGTAAAAATGTCTATATTTACCTATGTCTATTTTTACATAAAAGAAGGAAAAATAATCACTTTTTAAATAATTGATGAGGCTAATGTTGATGTATGAATAATTCATGAAAAAAACTCTATAATCATATTTTTTTTTTGAATACTACTGACTCTATTACAATGTAATATTTGTTCATAACTATTTTCTCAACCAATTGGAGCATAAAGAGTCAATATTGACTCCACTAAGGCCCGAACATACACCCTCCAACATAAGGTGCAACTTGGTGCCATTGGACCACAAGGTCCTTGATAACTCTATAATCATATAATTCTAAGGGAAAAGTTTCATTTTTCCTAACTTTTTAATAATATTGTATAACAAAATTTGTGCTACCTTTTAAAAATATACATATATAGTCCTTATTCCCATAACATTATACAAAACATTGCAATCATTAAACTAAAAATATGATACAAATTAAAATAGATGAATAGATATATTTTCTATATTTCATTTTACATGCTAGGTTTAATATTATTAGTCAAACAACTTTTTATCCATTTACTTATTATTTTATCATTTTTGAATACTTTTTAGATTAGAATTATAAAAAAACATTTAATTTCTAAATGTATAATAGTAAATTATGGATAAAATGAGTTAACCTTCATTTATTGAGCATCATATAAAATGAAGGAAGTATGCTCAAATGTATTGATATATTCGATCTATGCTATATATGTATGAATAGGATGATCTATCCATACTTCCTAAAATAACAAAAACCATCCTCATAGAAATTTTTCTATATACGTGAGATTGTAGAGGTTATGTATATATTTTTAGTATATATCTATTAAATAATGAGAGTTTGAATTCAATCCAAACATGCTACTTAATTAGTTGATACATTATGTGGGACTAGCAACTATAATTTCTACATAATTAAAAAATCTAATATATAAATCTTGCAAAAGATTACCTTTAATTAGAATCAATTTTATTATTAAAAGTATCCACATTAAAGGTGAAGTAATTTTAATGAGACTCAAATTTATTACTAAATGTTATAACGTTCAAAGGTGATGTAGTTGATACAATTGTACTCCGTACTAATCATAAATGAAATGAGATAATGTTGTCATAAAATAAAGTTGAAGGAGAGGTTGAGGGGGGGGGGGTGGTGGTTTACTTTTTATGATAGAACAAAGGGAAAATGACACTTTTTACCCCTGAATTATATACTTATAGTACTTTTTTCCCCTCAATTATTTAGGTAAGTACGTTAGCCCCTTCAATTATTCTAAAAGTGGTGCTTTCTCGCCCCCCCCCCCCCCCCCCCGCCCGACCGATATATTAAATTGACATGTATACCCTTAAAGTAAACATTTTATTTATTTTACTACTACAACAAATTATTGCGTATACGTAGGGATGACCACAGTTCGGTTTGAATTGAACCGGATACTAAAGCAATCGAATTAATAGTTTTCCGGTTATAATTCGGATCTAGAACCCAATATTTAAATGTCAATTTTAATTATTATGTATCAAAAAAATTGAGTCTTGAACCGTGAACCGACGATTCCGGATCCGATTCGTGATTTTGAACCGTCTTTATTTTAAAATTTTATTTTTTATTTTAAAATAGTCTAAATTCAACAATAAATGTATTTTATTTTTTCAGTTCGGAACATGAACCGTCCGTTCCGGTTCACGATTTTACTAAACTCTAAATATCGAATTTTGATTCTAAATTGTAATTGGAATATTTCGGTTTGGTTGCTATAGTGTTTGTTTGGTTTGAACCAAATTATGGTCATAATTTGTTGGAGAAAAAAAAATTAAATATTTAGTTTAAGGGTAAATATGTCCATTTAACATTTCAGAGGAAAAAACAGCCACTTCAATAATTTAGGGGGAAAAATGCTATAGATATATAACTCAGGGAGAAAAAGTGTAATTTTCCCTAGAACAAACTAGTGGTAATTCTAATTCGAGCCCTAAGGCACAACTACTTCTATAGTAATAGAAAAAAATAGTGCAAATAATTTTTTTTTAAAGAAAATATATTTCCTATAACGTAACAGCATACAACATATTGCAATCAATGAACTAAAAATATGATGACAAAATAGATAAATAGTAAATTTATATTTCATCTTACATGTCATGATTAATATTATTTGTCAAGCAGACTTTTTATTCATTTGCTTATTGTTTAAACATTTTAAATATTAGATTATTTGCATTTAAAAAAACTTTTAATTAAATTTGCAAATATACACACAATAATATAAAATGCATCAAAGGAAGTACCATATAAATGTATTGATTCTATGCTATATATGAATGGATAGGATGATCTATCCATATATTCCTAAAATGCATACAAACCATCGTTATAGAAATTTCCTATATATGTGAGATTGTAAAGGTTACACATAATTTTGATATATATTTAATACATAATGAGATTATGAGAGTTTGAATTCAAATTAAACACACTATTTAATTAGTGAGATTACTTGATATATTATGGAGAACAAGTAATTTTTTAAAGAATTGAAAATGCTAACATATACATCTCGCTAAGATTACTTAGAATCATCAAACTCAAATTTGCGACTAAAGGTTATTTAAGAATCAAGACTCTAATTCATGACTAAAGGTTCTGATGTGTTAAAGGCAAGATATTAAATGAATTAATTAATTTGGAGGGAGAGGGTGGGGTGAGGGGGGGAAGGGTTGGGTAGTTTTGATGGCACACCAAAAAGGCATAGAGTTAAGTACAGCGAAATGATCGAGATTTTTGGAAGAGTTCTACTACATGAACTACTAAATCTTACTCACTAAATTTTTGTTTGATGTGGTGGATACTGATAAATTACTTTTTTTTTTTTTTTTTTCATGTGAATTGAATCTCAATATAAATGTTTACATCAAAATTTTATATGTTGAAGTAAAAGTTAAGAATAGAAAATAAACACTATTATTTTCCGTTTTGGAATGCGGAGATGAGAAGAATCAAATGCATATGAATGAATACGTGGATCCACATGGGAAGTTAAATAAACTGGAACGCTACAACAGTGTATGATTCCTCTGCCTCCCGCCACCCATTTACGTACCAAATTTCACTGTTGTTACCCCTTCCCTTTTCCCCTTTCTTCTTTCTACGGCTCCTTTTTTCCCTTTCTTCACGTTTTTTACTTTAAATATTTGACTAATATATAACTAAAATAAACTTCCATACCTTTTACAATGATACATGTCATGATCAAGCACTTATTATAACGTCTAAAATGATAACTAATAATAAAGTGTTGAACGGCAGCACGAAAAGTCAGGTCAACATCTTGTCATCAAAACGTAATGTTGACTACTACATAAGAATACACAAAGTAAAGTTACGTTTTCGTTACTAGCTATAACTTTTGATGCAGTGATAATCACCTGATCATGACACGAATCATGCTCCTTCTACTCCCCCACCCCTTCCAAGGCGCAATCACCACAATTTGATGGTAGGCATTTGATCTTTTAGGTATTCCGGATATGAGAAGTAATTGAATGAAAGTAGGAAAAAAAAGTGATTACTTTTAAAATTATCCTCTTATTTGATATTTGTTCGATGGTATGACACGACCAGAATAAGATGTGAAATGTTCCGGAATCTTTTTCGTATAAAATGATGAATAAAAACATACATAAATGATTGATCGTATATATAGCAAGTTGTGTGACAGCAGCCCATGAGGTGACTATCCAATAACCTGCGGCATATTATTAGGTACAGCCCCAATGACCTTCAATTCCTACGTACTCATCCGATCCATTAATCAACTCAATTTTCTTGGCTGCCCATCTACTTAGAATATCTTATTAATTAAAGTATAAATTAATTATTTAGTCTTTGTATTTTACTCCTATCTCATTCATTTTTTTGACTAATTTATTCTTTATACTCAACTTGGATTAGTGCCACATATGCCAATCATTATTCTGTGGAACATAGTCTATACAACTATGTGGACCATTCAATACACGAATAATGTACTTTTAGTATATTAAAAATGTACATTATATTCAGAAAAAAGATACATTATTTGAGTACTGAAAGTACATTATTTTGTTTAATGCACTTTAAGTATATTAAAAATGTATTTTTTTTTTATTATGGTCCACACAACACTGTGTGGAGAGCATGATCCACACAATAATTTGCCATTAATGTAATCAAAAAATCTGTGTGTCTGTGTGTGCGCGCGCATTCAGTACACAAATAATGTACTTTAAGTATATTAAAAATGTATTTTTTATTATGGTCCACACAACACTGTGTGGAGAGCATGATCCACACAATAATTTGTCATTAATGCAATCAAAAAATCATTTATCGAACTATATATATATATATATATATATATATATGTGTGTGTGTGTGTGTGTGTGTGTGTGTGTGTGTGTGTAAACAAGCTCTCGTAAAAAGTGTGAATTTATTTCATCCTTTCATCAAGATTGATTAATGATTGAAAAATAACGAAACATGGAGAAAACGCTTAATAGTGCATCAGTGGATAACTAATAGTTTGCATACTTGAATGCACTATTACAGATTTTAAGTGCAATATTAGTTGGCTTATTTCATATTTTCATGTAAAAAAATCTCAATAGAATCTATTTATAAACTATGTCGACATTATGAATATAAAGAACAATGCTTTTGTAAATAATTAGGTTATTATATTATTGTGGCTAAGTGGTGTTTAGTATAGCGGATAGGATATGTGCTTAATTAGTTTAACTTACTATATAAGTGCAACTATCGGGGCTTGGCTTGCTAATTTTGCTAGTGTTTTAGGGCATGAACAAAAGGGTTATTATTAGTAACACAAATTATTTTTGGGTGGGGGGTGGGGGGGGGGGGTGGGGTGGGGATTGAAGATGAGATAGAGATGGACACTATGGGAAGTGTACATAAAAATTAGAGGAGAAGCTAAGCTTATGTATTCATTGTATAGTAGTTGTTTGTAGTGGAAAAAAAAGAAAGAAAAACAAAATATCAGAAAAATTGACTTTTGAATGTGTATCACATGTTAAAGAGCACTGAGTTACACCTTACTCTCGAATAAGAGTCTCATTTCTATGAACACAACTAGGGGTTGGGTGAATAAAAAAATCCAACCGACTGTATAACTGAGGACAAATAACCATATCAAATCTGCTAAAATATTTGGTTACCGGTCATGCCCGCATTTAACTAAATTTTGGTTATTTTAGTTTTCTAATTGACTATCGGTTCATTACTGCTATTTTGAGATGGTTTCACCACACTTAAAATGAGAGGTTCACAACAATCAGTTATCATTATTTAAGTATAGTTAATTAAAAAATTCAGTCATTTTAGTTTTTCTAGCGGGTTATCACTCTTTTACAATTATCTCAAACTTTTCTAGTTATTTCAAACAATTGTATGGTATACTCCTAACTAAGCACGACTTGATTCGAACTATGACCATTAGTCTTATAGTAGTGGGGATACCGTATGCATGCAGAAAGGAAAAAGTAGGTAGAAGACACTTTGGGTGGGGGGGGGGGGGGGGGGGGGGGAGGGGGAGGCTAGTTGGGGTGTGGGAATGGTGGGAGAATATGATTCATAATGAAGAAGGTGGAATGAGGATCTTTGCTTAACTAGAAAGTTGATGAGATGGAGTAGTAGTGTGCGTGGTTGGCTTAGGTAGCTTGACCCCACCCATACCCTTACCAACACAACTAACAGTACACATACACTCAATAATGCATTGTCGGCTGCGCTATTTAGCTCATCTCATCACAATTAAGTTAGGTCACCAATAATATTTAACACGCCATGATTATGACTCTTAATTGTGATTATATTCATTAATATATGTAATCTCCATCCCCTACATACTATTCTTGGTTGGACTTAAGATGAGTGTGGTTGGATTTATTCCCACATATGGCATCAATATAAATATATAATGGTCCCCTCAGCTCGCCCAATCATCCCTCTTCAAGGTGAGGATCAGACCACCCTGCAGTACAGTTTCCACTCTATAATTAACAATCCCTAATAACAGCATGTAGATTGCTATAACTTATAAGCATGCAGCACTTAATCTTTATTATTATACAAACCAGAAGCCGTGCATCCAGCCGTTTCAATTAATTGGTTCCGCTACTTTGATTTACACTGAATCTCAACCTCATTATTCAAATGTGTATTTTAGATAAAATTAAGGGAAAATGACACTTTTTTTTCCTCCGAGTTATATACTTATAGCACTTTTTTCTCTTGAATTATTCAAGGGACTGGTTTCCTCCTAAAATGTTAAACGGACATATTTACCCTTAAAATAAATATTTCATTTATTTTTCTTCTCCAACAAATTATGACCACGATTTGGTTCAAATCGTTGAAAAAAATAAAATACATTTATTGTTGAATTTAGACTATTTTAAAATAAAAAATACAATTTTAAAACAAAGACGGTTCAAAATCGCAAACCGGATCCAGAACCGCCGGTTCACGGTTCAAGATCCAGTTTTTTTGATTCATAATTTTAATAAACTGAAATCTAAATATTGGGTTCTCGATCTGAATCATAACCGATTCAATTGCTATAGTGTCCGGTTCAGTTCGAACTGAACCGTGGTCATCCCTACGTATAAGCGATAATTTGTTGGAGATGAAAAACAAAAATAAAACGTTTACTCTAGGGTAGAAGTGTCAATTTAATATAAAGGGGGAAAACAACCACTTTTAGAATAACTAGTATTGCACGGGATGAAAATTAAACTACATTATAAATAACATTTGAATTAATAACACGCATAAAATTTTGCAGTACAAAAATGCGAAATATGCAGTACAAAAAGGTTCAAAACAATAGTAAATATACCAAAGTCATAAACATTGGAATAATTATATATACTGAATTACAAATTTTTAACTTTCAAAAAAAAAAAAAAAGAATTACAAATTTTAAAAAACCTCGTGATACACAACATTTACAGTTGAAGAAGAATACTCCCCATTCTCACTTAAAACAACCATTTAAGACCATTTGGATTGTTAACTCTAGACAAAGCCACATACAATTGTCCATGCAAAAAACAGGTTTTTTCAAAAGTAAGCCAACATTTATAAGACTTTGTCTTCGACTCTTATTTATTGTCATTGCTGACAACATTAAAGGGAATTTCCTTCTTTGGAACTTAAATGAAAATCGAGGATCAGACGGTGTCAATGACAATCTTGGAATTCAAACTCGTGTACCCATACAACTTCTTGACATCACTTTCGCTTCAAGAACATGATCTCCCAATTTAGTAATGACTAATCTCATACCATTACACAAGACAAGATTGTAGTCATTGTTTCGCAACAACATAATTGGAGATCCAACTTGCAACATAAGACAATGATTTGGAATACCCGAGCATTTCAACGTGTTAAGAAACACTGTAGTATGTAAACCAGCTAAAGTGTCGACACCAGAATCTGATTGACAAATGGAATCAGAACTGAAATAAGTTCTAATAGTTGTCGGATTCAAGCCACTCATGTAATCATTGATTTCATGCACTACATTCAGAGTTGGAGCCAAAATAGCTCGACCATTAAGAGATTCCATATCAAAATTACCTGTGCAAAATTCCGGGAACGTACTATTTACTATGGCTGCAACTGAATCTCCATGTGGCCGCAATACATTTTGTTCCGAAATATTTATTACTGCACACCCATCATTTGGCCACCAATCAAACCATCACCTATACCAGCTATCCACTTTTCCGAAAATGAATTGATATCTTCAGCACTGTCATAATTTCCCAATCTTTGTAATCTAAAATTCTTAGTCAATCTTAGCACCTTAAAATTTTGCCAGAGATAAGATGAATTGATGCTTGCTCCAACAATATCTTGTCTTGTTCCCTTAGGAATCACAGGCAGTATTTGTCGAAAACCACCACCAAGAACCACTGTTTTTTCTCCAAATGTCATTTCTGTACTCAAAGGATTTAGAAACCGTAATAAATATCTCATGGTTCGGTCTAAAGCCTCAAAGCAATGTTTATGCATCATCGGAGCTTCATCCCAAATAATAAGTTTGGAGTTTATAATTAGATGAGCCAAGTCACCCCCTTGAGAGATGTTACATGTAGAATCTTCAATTATATTAATAGGTATAGCAAATCGGGAATGAGCAGTTCGACCACCTGGCAAAAGTAGAGAAGCCATACCTGTAACAACCCAAAATTTAATTTTATAAATCCAATTTTAATAAATTCCCAAATAGCTATTTTCACTCTATTGAAAATTTTTGCGATAAATTGGTGTTTGAATAAATTATTTTGGGTTACATTTTAAATTAATTCAACACCAAAACTTATTTTTATTCCAAAATCCTAAATTTTCGAGTACTTCGCGTACCAAGTTTTAAATTGAGAAATCAATCTTTCTGAGACCGGGATAAATTTGAAACAAGTGTTGGTTTGGAAATCATTTTTGGAAAAATACATTTTGACCCCAAACTATTTAAAATTCCCCTTTTTAGACCTTGGTCCGTGATGCAAGGTGAACCATAAGCTTTATCAAAACTTTGTCTGATCTTTTGGAAGCCAAGCTAAATTACTCCTTTGCCCTCCACCAATCATTGGTGATTCTCCTAGGGTTTAGAACCCTATAAAATGAGATGTTTTCAGCCATTGCCTCTTGATTCCCTTCCTTGTCTTCCCCAAACAAAAGTTCTACAAGAAAACTCAGTAAGTTTTCCAAGCCTTCCATTTCTCCAGCTTCATGTTTCTATCTTTGAGACTTTAGTTTTATGATTTTTTGTGTGGCTTGTTTGAGGTGTCTAAGAGGTGAAGGAGATGTCTAGCTTGGGAAGAATGAGGAATCCCAACAAGAAGAGGAAACAACAAAGGTATAACCCCATGGGCTCCCTCATTGATTTTTGGCTCTGTGAAGCCTATTATTTTGAGTAAAAATTGTGGATTTTTGTTGTGTTTGAGCTTGGAAGTGATCTAGTATTTGTCTTTGAAGAAATGAATAGAAATGGTGGATTTTTGTTGTGTTTGAGCTTGGAAGTGATCTAGTATTTGTCTTTGAAGTGTTGATAATATTTTGGATGTGTTGGACTTGCTTGAAATGTGTTTTGCAGGTGAAACAACCTATCTGGTGCACACACAGTGTGCACCAGACTAGTGTAACGGCCCTAGCCGCGGCCCATCAAGGGGGCCGCCGGCTAGAGCCGGGGCCAATCGGGCCTAGGGCACGACCCTAAGAGAGGGCCGTTGCCTAGGCCCGGCTATGTTGCGGCCTTAGGGGGGCGGCTCATGAGGAGCCCCGCCCCAGGTCCCTGAGTATGTTCTGAGTGTGTTTTGTGCAGTGGCAGGGCCATTGTGGCTTAGATACGTGTCATTTTGGGATAGGTGTCATGGGCCCTTGTGGTTCAGTACCTCAGGGTCGTCTCGACGCACGTTTTGTCTTTAACTTCGTTGAATTTGGATTAAAAATGAGCATTTTATGTTGGATTTAGTGATGATTTTGCTACACAGTATGTGTTTTGAAGTTCACTGTGAAAGAGAAATGCTTTGCCTTGTTGCCTGATGTTATTTATGTTTTGAGTAGAGAAGCATTATCACTTTGAAAATATGACTTATTAGAAAAGCATGACTAGAATGTGTTGTTTGATCAATGAGATTTGAAGCATATTTTGATGATAGAAATATATAGAATTTGTTATGTTGTAAACCGAGTATGATATTGTATTCTTGAGAATTTTGTGATCTTTATATATGGTTTTAGAGCATGTTTTATAGCATTTGCATTTAAGCATATCATGTTTTAAAAGTGCATAAGTGGCCAATGTGAGCCTAAGTATTATTTTCCAAAATTCATGAGTATGTGGAAAGTCTTTATCTTGTTGAATTGAGAATTTGTTGAGAAGTGACATGCTTAACTTTGGTGCATGAGATATATATATATATATATATATATATATTATCTATCTATATATGTGAGGTTTTGGAGGATCCGTTTGGACTACGTCCTCTCGGGAAGAAAGAAATGGACATTGCGGTCCAAGTTTATGTAACGCGGCGTATTCCTACGTTACGAGGTTGGAGACTGCCCGCCAGGCTTGGAATCCTGGTTAGGGGGTGTGCATACTAAAGGTACGATACCTAATTCCACACAGAAAGAAAGAAAGAAAGATAGAGCCAAGAGAGTGGATCTGTGGGCGAGTTGAGTATGTGGCGGCTAGATTGCCGAGCCGGTTAGGTCCATTCACGATTCGTGAAGACCTACCTCCCCACGAGTTAGAGCTTTCGTAGTTACAGATGTGGCAGATGGACGAGATTACACCGTACGCTAGGGCTTCGCTGTGGTGGAGTACCTGCCTCGCACAAGAAGTGAAATGAGAAGTATGAGAAAGTTTGAGCAAGAAAGAAATCGAGTCAAGAGACTCAAGAGAAAGAAAGCGAGTCATTGCGACTCTAAGAAACCTCCACAGAAATGTATTCTATTTTATAAACGAGTGTATGAGTATATTTATAGTATTGCACGAAATTGCATTTGAGTACATTTATAGTATTGCACGAGATTACTTAATGAGAATGATGAATCAAGTTTGTTTATCGAGCATGATCGCTTTAGTTACATTTTGAAGTCTTGTATATCCAATTTGCATGATGAGAACTTGATAGCATGACGATAGTTGTCGTATTGATTAATAGTATAAAATTGCTTGTAAGCATGTATTCGTTATGAGGAGTTCGTTGTGATATTTATGTGTTGGAATATTTGTGTTGTTAAGTCTTTTATATTTGAAGCATGCCTGTTGATACTATAGGTTGCAAGCATATAGAAAGTCTGTGATTAACTTTAGTTGGCTATGTGATGTTGAGTATGAGTGTGAGCAAATGTTTTTCCAAAGTATATTATATAGTACTTTACAGGGTTGAGTGTGGTTATACTTAGCTTCGTGCTAACAGGTGTTTTCCTATTTGTCTATGTGTTGTTTGTAAAACCCCTTTCAGGTGGGCCAAGCGTTGAGAGGTGATCGAGTTAGACTAGTCTAGTGTGTCTAGTAGTCTGAACTCATAGTCTTTTATCATGATGTTATTTGTCGGATTTATAGACTTATGTTGTTTTGATGATGATTGATGATGTAGACATCGGGGTGTGTTTTTCCCCTTTATGCTTTTTTTTTTTTTTTTTTAAATTAAGTTTTATGGATGTTAGTTATTTGTTTTACTTCTAGTTCCATCCTTAGCCTATGCAATCACCACGGAGTGGTGGTTGTTGCGGTGACATCCCCACTAGTTACTTATTAAGTTGTTTATCCGCTGCTTAGTTTATGTTAATTGTGGTTTAGAATTGTAATTAAGATTTATAAAAAGTGGGGTGTTACGATACCACTCGAGGCGACATTTAAGACGATGTGACCCTCAGAACACAGAGCATCTGATAATGTTTTCCAAACAAAACCAGTTCCTCCGTACCCATAAACAAAAAATAAACCACCCCTAGCATTCGTAACATCACTAAGAACTGTGTCATAGACATGTCGCTGTTCATCTGTCAATTTCTCTACAAAATTATCATGTTCAACTTTAAGAGCATCATAATCGTATGCCAATTCTTCATCTAACAACTGATTTCCATGAGAAGCTGAGAAACTCATATTTGGCACAGGCTGTAACGCCCCACTTTTCTAACTCTTAAATTACGACTCTAAACATTCATTAACATAAACTAAGCAGCGGAAATATTAACCAAAAGATAAATAGTGGGAGTGTCACCGCCATAACCACCACTCTTTGGTGATTGAACAGACGAAAAGGGGTAAAACTAGAAATAAGATTAAGTCTGGGTACTAAAAATAAATACTGAAAATGTAAGGGGGAAAAACGTCACCCCAAAAGTCTACAACATCCTCAAAAGAACATAAAGTTAATAAGTCTAGTCATTAAAACACGATCATCAATCAATCTAGAGTTTAGACATCTCTAACTACGAGACTAATCTAACTCGATCTCTTCTCACTACTGGGCGAACCTGAAAGGGGTTTTGCAAGCAACACATAGACCAATAGGAAAACACCCGTTAGCACAAAGCTAAGTATAACCACACTCAACCCTGTAAAGCATTCTAGCAAATACTTTGAAACAATAGATATCTTTATAGTAATAAACTAATCTCAAATCATCTTAAGATTTATCACATTCTTTCTAGATGCTTGCACCCTATAATATCAGTTGGAATGCTCATATTTGTGTAAGACTGATCACGTAGATACATCAGCATATAGACTTCTCAAATAGCTTATCAAGCAATTCATGCTTACAGATAGGTTCATGCTAAAAGACCATATAATAGGTGTTTACATGCTTTCACATTCTTATCACGTAACTTGATAAGTAGAGCTTCCTCTACTACAACACGACAAACATGCTCAAAAGAATATCTTAAGTCAAACTTCTCGTTATACAATATCTTACGATGCTCTATTCACATACAAACACGTATAACATTAAGATCATACTTCTTATGCAATCTAGTGCAATAATATACTCATACTCATATGCAATCTCATGCAATTATATAATCATACTCTTATGCAATCTAATGCAATTATATAATCATACTCTCGTGCAATCTAGTACAAGAATATACTCATACTCATATGCAATCTCGTGCAACAATAAAACCATACTCTTATGCAATCTAGTGCAAGAATATACTCATACTCATATGTGATCTAGTGCATAATACTCATATGCGATCTAGTGCAATAATATACTTATACTCATATGCGATCTAGTGCAATAACATACTCATACTCATATGTGATCTAGTGCAATAATATACTCATACACTCTTTTATAAATTAGAGTACTTTCTGTGGAGGTCTCTTTGTTACTTTCTCGAGTCTCTCTTGACTCTCTTTCTTTCTCTCGAGTCTTTATTGACTCTCTTTCTTGAGTCTCTCTTGACTCTCTTTCTTTCTCTTATACTCGTAGATGGCTTAGGGTTTCACAAAAGTGTGAATTACCCCATCGGGAACGGCATAATTCTGACCCAATATCTCCTACCGTTTACGGAACCAATCTCGTGGTTCGAACTCTGTGGAATCAGGTATCGAACTATTAGTGTGCACACCCCCTAACCAGGATTCCAAGCCTGGCGGGAAGTATCCAACCTCGTAACGTGGGAATACGTTGTGTTACATAAACTAGGACCGCAATGTCCATAAATATCTCCCGAGAGGAACATAGTCCAAACGGTATCCTCCAAAACCTCACAGATATAGATAATACATAAGTATATCTCTCATGCATGCAACAATTCTACTACTTCTCAATGCATCAAAGAATGATATACCGCATGCTTATGGTTTTTGAAAGTATTCTTGGACTCACGTTGGCACCTTATGCATTTTTGAAATATGACTCATGTGAAATGTAAAAATGCTCTATAACATGCTTCTAAATCATGTATAAACTAACATGAAGTATTCAAGAATATATCATCATGCTCGGTTTGCAACATAGCAATTTCTATACATTTCACTCAACAAATATGCTTCTATTCTCTTTGATCAAATAGTACAATTTAATCATGTTTTCATAATAAATCATATTCTCAAAGGATCATACTTCTTTACTCAATAAAATATCACCAGATCACAATAATCAAATAATTCTTCATACACAGTAAACTAGCAAATTATTCACTGTGTAGCAATTCTTCACAAAATCCTTCATAACATACTTGTTTTTAAACCAAATTCAACGAAATCAAAGCCAAAACGTGCATCGAGACGATCCCGAAGAGCCGAGCCACAATATCCCGTAACACTCGGTCCGAAACGACATGTAGCTGAGCCACAAGGGTCCGACCACTGCACAAAAGTCCTTCATAGACTATACTCAGGGACTTGGGGCGGGACTCTTCATGGTCCGCCCCTGAAGCCCCGTTGATGCGCCGGGACTAGGCAACAGTCCTCCTCTAGGGCCGTGCCCTAGTCCCATGCCACCACAGCTCTAGCCGCGGCCCTTCTGATGGGCCGCGGCTAGGGCCTCCACTCTGATCTGGTGCACACTGTGTTGTGCACCAGATGTTATTTCACCTGCAAAATCTCATCCAAACCAGTCCAAAACAATCTCAACAACTCACAAACATATACTAAAAACCTTCTAAGCATGAACACATCAAAAACTCATAGTTTCTACTGATTTCTATTCAAAACTAAGGCTTCACAGAGCCAAATTTAGAGAAGAATCCATGGGGTTATACCTCTTGTAGTCTAATCTTCTTGCTTGGATCTCTTCTTCCTCTTGACCTAGCTTGAGCCTCCTTCACCACCTACACTTCTCAAACACACCTTCTATCCTTAGCCTAGAACCTCAAAGACTAAAGGAACTAGAAGAGAAAAGAGACTAGAATGAAGGATGAACAAGCTTACTAGGTTGTTGTTTTTCTCCTTGTTCTTGGCAGACAAATGGTGAGGAGGAGGCAAAGAATGAGATCAGGAAAATAAGATGAAATAAGGTGGTTTATATAGGGTTCAAAACCCTAGGATGATTCACAATGATTTTTTAGGACAAAAGGGGTAATTTCCCAAGCTAAAAGATGAATCAATAAGGGATTTTTGGATGTCTTGTGGTCCACCATGTAACATGAACCATAGGCTAGAAATGTTATCTTTTATTACTTTGAGGTTGAAAGTGAATTTTCCCAAAAGCTATTTGGATGAACACTTGTTCAAAAATCCTTTTTGAATTCTCCCGGTCTCACTCAGATAAAATTCTCGATTTAAATCTTGGTACGCGAAGTACCCAAAAACTTAGGGATTTTCGAATGGAATTTATTTCTTCGGTGTCAAATTAATTTTAAAATGCGACCCGAAATTATTTTATTCAAACACCGATTGATCGCAAAATTTTTTAATGGAGTGAAAAAGCTATTTTGGAATTTCTGAATACTGGATTTATAAAATGAAATTTTGAGTTGTTACACAGGCATAGACGGAAAGCAAGACATACTTTTTCCCAATACACGTAAAAGCTTTTCAATTTCCACCAAAGCATAATTAACATTTTCTTCATCTGTTAGGATTAGACCTAAAAAAGAGAATAAAATCAGAATGATACTTACATCTGATGATCCAATATAGCACAATCATGTAAATAAAATGTATATTTAAGCTACAAAAGAATGTAAATAAAAAAAAAACATGGTTCATCTAGTAGCATCCGTTGGTTGAACTCCGCATCTTCGGCTAAGAGTATCCATACTGCCTCCCAAACAACTTCTGGTCGAATAAGAACGTTTGAAGTAAGTATAGTCACAAATAGTTTCCTCATAGAAGTTGCAGATGCCCATTTACTTGCTTCATTAATCGCATCAACATATTCCTTGTCATCTGCTAATAAACCACGAACATAGCATGCAACTCGAAACGAACTATACTGCACTCCGTCAACAATACGAAGATCTTCATAACATGTTGCACCACGCACCAAGTTCAACAAACACCTTAGATAATAAATTTCACCCGAACCTGGCGAAACAAAGAACATACGTCCAATAGCAAACCCCTTACGTCTAAGATACCACTCTCTAACATCATTTTTCTAAACAAATTTGTTGGGCATCTGACCATAAGTTAACTCTTTAACTTCTGCAAACTTTTTATTAGCTTCAAACTAAGCTAAAAACATACTTTCTCCAACACTCGGGCGACTCAAAATATTGTCAACACAATCATCATCGCCATAAACAACTAATTGTTGATTAGGCAAATGGAAACTCAACATCTCAACTGCAGGAACTCTAAATTGAATGTCAAATCCGAATAAACGCCATGTTCCTTCGCAAGCAGATATTAACGACAATCATAGAACATAGATATCTCATCTACAACTTGACCTTTCTCTAAATCATCGGAACTTTTGTAGAAATGAGCTGTAACTCGATCATGCCCCTTGTTGACATACTTAAATAAGTACTTGATAGAACGGGACTGGTTACACCACTCAATATTAATATTTGCTCTATATTTAAGCAACAAATATTTGTTATGTGGTATAACAAATCTGTTATCCAGCTCAATTCCATTTTTCTAAACAAACATTCCATCATCTCTTCGTCTGTAAATGAGATAACCATCTTGATCAAAATTTAAAGAGTATACAAACTTATTTGAAAAATGTTTAGAACAACGACCATTGACCATACACAGAGAATTCTTCCTAAGATGACCACAAGGACCGTGAATCATAAACTCTTCAACAACCTTATAATACTCACTATCTACTTCCTTATTTGGAATTTCAGCTGAAATGATAGTATCAATATTTTGACATAAAGCTTGACCATCTTCTCGGCCCAGAAATATCAATATATGGGCATGCGGAAGTCCTCTTTTTTGGAACTCAACAGTATAAATAACTACATAAAGAAGTATTAAAATACAAATTAAAAATAAGATAGGAATGATTCTCGTGTATATGTAGAAAAATTAAAATACGTACCTGCAGTTACATTACCAAAAACTAATCCAGAACGGATCTCCCTAATCAACGCATCCAATTTCATTTTAAATAAGCGACATATGATATCAGGTCGATCAACAGCACTCAAATGTCGCTCTCCCGAATGCCTCTCTATTTCAGGCCACTTTGGATTACATGTAAATGTAATAAATAAATTAGGATAATCAATCCATCCACAAATCGACATCGCATCTTGATAGTTTAGAATCATATACCTTGCCCCACCAGTAAAGCTATAAGGAAGAATAACTCGTTTACCATGACGACCGGGCTCAACATCACCTCGTGTTAATGCATCAGACAATCCCTGATAAGCTCCACACCTTAAAGATTTTTTATTGGTGCGAATATACAATAATCGACTAGCTTCAACCATGGTGTAACCATCGACCAGAAATTGTTGAAATAATCTCAGAGCATATAAAATTGTTGAAACTTTTGATGAACGCTCATGAATAGGAAAAATAAGATACTAGCGAGGTGAAATACGGTGTCTAGATCCATTTTCAACTACTCGAATAATGTTGAAGCCAATATCCTCCGTATAACCATCTTCACCATACGAAAACAACACTGGATACTGTAGTGGAAGATAAGCTGGATTGAGTTCACTAATCCTCTTCAACAATCCAGATTTTGTTTCCACTAATATATCTCGCTCACCGAGATGCGCATCCAAGTCCCCAACAATAAGTGCAGCAACTTCAGAAACTGTGGGCAAATTATATGTACGGGCATCTGTGCTACGCTTCCCAATCAACTTCATTTTAACTTCTACTCTTGGATTTGACTGGATTGCTTCTTTCGCCATGCGAAATGACTTAACCAAAATATTGCAATAATCTAAAACAGCTTGGATATCAGCAACATTTTGAGGGTGTAAATCTTGTACATCACTTTCATTCCTTCAAAATTATAAAATTTGCAAAGTAAAATGAATTTTAAAAATTGATTAAACAAATATATTATAAAAATATGAGAAACAATTAGTATACATACCTGACAGCGCTAATTCTATTCATAACTTCATTTTCAGAGTCATGAATGTATAGCTGTCCGAATTTGGCCGAATTACCTTCAATGGGTAATAAACTCCCCATCAAATGAAAATTCTGACCATTCAAGCGAAAGATTGGCGGAGATGATCCAGAATTTATTTGTTTATCAATTCGACCATCCATTGATGTAAAACTGAACATGTTATTGTAAGATCGTTTATTCTGCAAGAAATTTTTACTTTTACGATCGCCACTAAAAAACAAATTAGATATCATCTTGGGCGGAGGAATGATAGGTGCCAACTTAATTTTTCCGTTACCACAACATATGAAATATTTAGGCAAACTATTCACCTTTACACTCTTTAATCTCTCATCATACCAAAACAATGCATCACAATGTTGACGCTTAAAAGTTGGATCGCCATTGTCTAAATACATGCCTACTAAAAAAAATGTCACCAAAAATGTAATTATATAAATAAATGAACTTAATTTAAGCTACCAAAGGTATATAATAGCTTTAACAATTTGTTACCTGTACGTATAATTTGAGGATCATGTTGCACTTTTCGCTTATTTTGGACAGGTTATCTACATACAATTGATGGTCCTATTGATAGTTTAATCTATTACTATAAGAATAAAATAAATCAATATATTATAATGTAGGATTAGAAAAAAAATGCACAAAATACCTTCATTAGTTAAATTTGTTTTCCTTCTGTTTGAACCACAAACAATATTCAATACGATTTTAGAATTATCAGCAATGTCGACTGTATGATTACACACCAAATAAATCAAGTCACAATATAAATTCACCTAACATTTAATATAACATTTTAAAAGAAAAAAAATAAATTACCCGCTTCGGTGCTAGTACTCCCAATATGCCTATTCAAACATTCAACATTAGAAGATATTGTAGTATTGATTTGATGGCTTACATTAAAGAAAATACATTTTAAAAAAAATAAAAAAGACAAAATTTAATTTGAAATGTGATAAAATTAGTGTAGCACTTACAATTTGTTAATACACTCAAACTTGTATAAAGAGAATTTTCAAACACACCCAAAAGGCATGATTTTTATGCCTGAATCCCAATCCGATCGATCCTTCGCGTTGTTAGTTGCTCAGGAGTTAAACTATCCACATTCTCTAACAAAAATTCAAGATGAAATTGTTAACAATTTATTGATTCCCAGAATGAAAATTTTAAAAATATTTGCAAATTCATTATATCAAATAGACAAAATCCTTACTTGTAACATTATTTAACGTAATATTTAATTGGACAAAAGAGGAAAAAGTGTCAAAATGCTTTAAAATATATTATTAGGATAAAGTCATTGCAAATTTTGAGATGCACAATTTATAAATACAAATATATTGAAGAAAACTCAATAAAAAAATCACCTATTTAATAAATATATTAACAAAACAATAAAAAGAATTCACACATTAGAATATAGGAATAACAAAAAAAAAAAGTAATATTAATATCAATAATGATAAAAATAATTAGAATATTTCCATTGACAATAACAATATTATGAATAATAATATTAATAATTAATAATTAATAATTAATAATGAATAATAATAATGCAATACTATTAATCATAACAACAAATTCAGGAATAATAATAATAATAATAATAACAACAACAACAACAACAACAACAACAACAATAACAATAACAACAACAATAACAATGATAAGAACAACAACAACAATAACAACAACAATAATGGGCCGAAACCCATCTAACCTGCCCAACCCAAAACCTACCAACCCTTCTTACCTAACCCAAAACATAATTCTAGAAGTCCCTCTCGCTCTACCTCCCTCTGCCTCGCTCTGTCCTCTCATTTGCGATTCACCGTCTCCTTCGCAACACCAGTACCATTCGCTATTCACGAACCCTAAATCATTCACGAAATAGAAGCCAATTACCTCTATTCTCTTCAATCCTTCAAGCTTCATCCTGTAAACCATGAAAATCTCTCGTCCTAGATGAATTAATCCAAAAATCAAAACCATAAATCGGAAGAAGTTCCAGCAAATCGTCTACTTTTCAAGCTTAAACTGGATCGGATCTTTCAGGAAACAATTTTCCCACATGCAGTAAGTTTTAATTGGTATTTGCTCTAAAATCTATTAATTTATTTATATACTTCTGAAACCCTAATTTCTATGTATGCATATGTACGTAGCTAAGCCCAGAAAGGAACAAATACACATTAATTGTTTTACTTGTTTAGGCATTAATTGATGTGATTTTGAGTATTTATATGAAACTTGTATTTATAAAGTATAGTGTAATATAAAATGCTTTCATACCTTTGTTTGAAATCCCATACTTTCTCTTGCAACCAATAGTAGTAGATTTTTCTAACTTTCTCATGTTTGTTTAAGCTGATGCTTTGCATGAACAGTTACAGAGAACCTGCAGTTTGAAAGTATCTTCCAAGTGTTGGATCTTTATTTATAGTGGCAATAGCATTTGATTACCCTAGTATAACACTGATGAATACTTGTAAATGATTACTATTTTATAGCCTTTGGTTAGGTTTGAATTTCATTTTTATTGGGAATGTAACAGTGTATTGATATATACTTGATTTTATTTTCCCCATATTGTTTAATTGGCTATTAGTTTATAAGATCAAATTTTGGCTTGATCTTCATCCATGGTTTTCTACATTTATCATTTTTTAAATGAGTTTACAGATTAATAATATCACATGTCAAACTCATGACATAAATTGAGTATAGTATTTCATCTGCCATACATTATACCTCTGTTCATCTATAAACTCATTGATTTTTATTACGAATCCAAAGTGCAGTCGTATCTAATTTGGATTTCTCCGTAATGGTTAATTAGTTGTTAGTTTTTAATTTCAAAATTTTACTTCATTGATAAAATTGATCAATGCATTTTTTTTTTTTTTGTGCAAATGAGCCTAAAAATTATATAATCCCTGTTGTCAAACTATTTGGTTTCAACTGTAAATCCCTACCTAAACCCTTTCATACTCACATTCTAACCTAGTCCTATTCTTTCACCATAAAAAAAGTTTTTTTTTTCTTTTTTACTTATAGCTTAAAACTTTTTTTTTTTTTACATAAATTATTGAATTTGAATGTATAACATATATACTAAGTTTGGTTAAATAAATAGTATTAAAGGTTCCATAGATACATTTAATACAACACTAAGTTAGAATTTCATCAGTCCAGCTTAGATCTGTAACTCATGGTTATTAGTGTACTCAAAAACTAAGTTAGAACCTTTTGTCAAATCTGCAATACTCCATTTCATCACTCCAGCTTAGATCTGTAACATTTTGTCATATTCTTACTGAAATCTATTTACTAATTGAGTAAATTTAACTTGTATTCTTATTTGATAAGTTCATGCAAACTTAACTTATTAAGTACTTATATTTTTACTTGATAAGTTGTAATTTAGTACACAGATAGACAACCTTTTTTTTAAAAAAAAGAAAAAAAAAAGAAAAAGTAGTCAGACATTGATAGTTCATCATTGCAGTTGTTTTCAGATACAAAGAGACCTGGATCTGGATTTAAATATAACAGAACAGTTGGCATCAAATAGTAGTCAAGATTCAATAGGTAAGTTTATTTTCAAATAATCCAAAAGATTTTACATTTACTTATATAGATGTTATAACTTGATTAATCTGTATTTAATTATCTCATTCCAGATACGGTTAACAAATGAAGATAGAAATCCCAAAGTATCATAACATGAAAAGGTATGTATCCCTAAAACCACTTCATTAGTTAGTACTATTTAAACTGGAAACATAAATAAAATAAACTTGAGCATAGAAGTACCAAACAAAAATAGGTACACATAATATTCATATTGTCCATAGAGTCCCAAAACATAAGACAGAATTTAAAAGTGGTACATAGACTGGACCTATTAGGGAAACATTACAAAATATAGCATAGAAACCGTAAAAACATTACATTTTTTCCAACTTAATCACTTAAGTATTAAGTCTCTTAGAGTAGTCAGACTAATTGAATTCATTCATTAGAGAACTCTTTAGTGTGCTGCACAGAAACCGCAATCACATTACATTTTTTCCAACTTCAAGTCGTTTAGAGTCATTAGAATGATTGAATTCATCCATTAGAGACCTCTTCAGCGTGCTTGCAACATTTCCAGATGAACCCCCCTCGTCAAACCCAACCATTTCAAAATCACCAAATTCATCAAGGCCAAATGAATCCTGAAAAAAAAAAATTAAATAATACACAGTGTTATTCAAATTTATAAAGAAGAAAACAATGTAAATAGGAAAATAGTTAAACCTCATGAGTTTGTTCTGTTGCATCTACATCACAGTCTATATTACACAGTGTTTTGAAAAAATGTTAGCTTGTCTATGTTGGGTAATTACGGAAAGATTATTATTATATGGAAAAAAAAACAGAAAAAAACTGGGAAGGAAAAGATGTATGATTCGGGTAGAGGTTGGCACAAGTTTGAACAAATCGTTCTTTTCCTTAAAACCTTATTTGCTACCTCCCACAAGTGCTAGGAGCGTTGTAACCTAGGTTTCTCATGATAAAACATGCTATGATTCCTTGATTGAGCACCCAAACAAAGAATCCGGCGAACGAAGTAAAGAAAGAACACACTTGGCTAAAAAGAAAGAGAGTAGAAGCAGAGTTTTGGAAGCCGAAAAACATAGTGGAATTCCTTTGATTTCTTGTGTATAAAAAGCTTATGCCCTACCTCTCTTTATATAGGGTTGTTGGAGTGATAGCATTCAACATGGCAATTAAATTGGTGTTAAAACCAATTGTGTAACACCTGTAACATCCACCCACTAACAGAAAAATTAAATTCAGAATTCAAAAATTTGAATTAAAACAATATTAATTCTGTAACAGATGAATTTAATCTACACAACAGTCCGAACTTTCGGGTTTCAGACCGTTGGTGTACAGGTTCGCTGTTCAGGACACGAGAGTTCGAAGTTCGGCCTTAAAAGGCCGAACCAGCAGCACGATAGTACAACTCTTGTGCTCTGTGGTGCAGCCCGAGAGTGCAACTCTCGTGTTGTGCAACCCGAGATGCACCTCTCGTGTTCTCTGTTGCACGAGAATTGTGCTCTCGGTGCACCTCCAACTCTCGTGCTCTTTGTAGCACGAGAATTGTGTTCTCGGTTTCGGCCTCCCAAGTGGATATATTGGTTGAAAAATGATACCGAAGTTTGACATAACTTAGCCCTCAAGGCCTGCCAATTTCCGGACGACATTCGTGCCTGCAAGTGCCGGCGCACACGAGATTAGGCTTGAGCCAAGCCTTTTCGATCCCAATGGGTCTACTTTGAGAATCAATATCTCATTCACCCATTATCCGTTTTGAACGTATAATATATCAATCTCTTCGTCTTACTACGAAGAATCTGAATCCACTTTGACCCGACCCAAATCAGAAGTGGACCCCACTGATAATTGTACCACAAAATAGCCACTTAACATGCTATTTTAAGCTATTTTTTCCAACAGTTTACAGAACCCTAACACCCCAAATGCAGAGATCAGACTGTCCACTTGATCTTTCTTCATAGAAATCCTAAATAGTATAGGCATCTCACAAATAGACTGCAACTCAGGTGAGATCCAACCTTTTGCATTCTGAAAAAAAAAACATAAATTTTATTAGGAAATAAACATAAGAACATATATAGCATTCCCAATCCCAAATTAGATTAGAAAAACCATTCTTACCTCAACATACTTCTCTCTTAGAGTTGAAGCTGAAACACCAACCAAGTCATAGCATTCCTTATTCCAAATGAGCATAGTTGTTTCACATGTACTGTCCGTTACACGAACAACCACCTTATACTTGACAGCTCCCTCATGCCAGCTACGGTCACACTTAGAACAGTACATCATACCTTCTCTTGGAGTTAGCTTTTTTCCCACAGTTAGTTCGCTTACAGAACTTGTAATACCAACCATCTGAACTGTCAACATCCATAATCTTAACAGCCACCCAATACTCATAGAGCTGTTTAATGGCAAAAAAGAAGTTAGTAAGTCAATCTGGAAAAAAAAAAAGAAAATAATTTATTACCTCCTTCCTCTTATAAATCTCACTTAGAGAAGTTACCACAATATCATCACTTAGAATGTTACAATTTGGCCTAAATCCAGTCAATCTAGAGCTTGAGTCCAACTTTCTTAAAGGAGTTATGTTAGATGACAGACTAGAATAGAAGAAATAAAAGTAAACAGATGCAATTAAGAACTGTGGAATTTAAAAATAGAAACAGTAGGATTTATACCTTAACCTTTTCTTGAACTCCTCAAAATCTGGCATTCTCTGATTTATCCAAATTTTTGTGGCATTAAATGAAGTTGATATGTGCACATCTCCATATGGGAATAAAGAATATAGAATTTCAGGATAATGCCACTAAAAGATAAAAGAATAAATTAATAAAACTTGAAGCAATGGAGTAGAAGAATAAGAGAACACATACTATCAAAGATCTTTGCCCTACAGAACTGCAGCAAAACAATCACTGGTTCTTCAGTGACTGTTGAGCTATAAATAGGCAGCAAACTGTCCACTTGATCCCCCCAAAGAGTACATTGAATCTGATCTTCACTAAAAGAAATAAAAGAAAAGTTTATTTTAAAAAGAATAGTTTATTGAAGTCATTCCATTAAAACTTTAAAAAAAAAAAAACAGAAATCTAATATAGACATGTACACTCACTTGATATCTTCCAGAACAAAATCAATAAGCCTAGCTCTTTGTCCTGCTACAACCCTCCCCACAGGAAAATAGATTTTAGTGACCCTTCCAATCACATCTAGAAAAAACAAATAGAAACAGTTAGGTATTAAATAAGGATAGATTTATAAGTAAAAGAGGTTGTATTTAAAAATAAGAAATTAAGAATATACCTATGAGCATCTTCTCATCGATATTTTTCTTCCTAACCAAGGAAGATATCGATTTTAAACGAAAAATCATGTTAGGAAAACTGACTTTCTTGTACTCCTTAACCATCGTATCATGCTTAAATTTAAGCATGTAACGATGATAACTTGTCTTGAACTTCAAGTAGTTAGTAATGCAAATGAAGTTCTTTAACCCATAAACACAACCTTCCTTGAATTTGGTCCATTTTTGCACTTGATTTTTAGGTATAGTACAATGAACAAACACACTCTAGATGAACACATTCAAAGGTATTAAACTGGAAATTAGCGAACATAAGTAAATATAAAGAAATTTTATGTTAATAAAATCAAATATACTACACCTCAACATCATGGAAAACGCATTCCAGACTGCTAATCCCATTGTTTTCTCTGTTTTCATAAATAACATATGTTCGCACAAGCCTAACTCGAATGACCTTCCTATTGCATAGTGGAGTGAGCTAGGAAGCAAGAACAAACTGACCAGCCATCAAAGAAGAAGAGCTTGTGATTGGAATTGACTAATATTAAGAGGTTATAATGTGAAATTGATTGTATAAACATGTGTATTTATACTGAAAGCCATCACTTATGCTATGTAAGTAATCATCACAGCTGAGTGAAAAAAGAAGAAGAGCTGATATTTCCAAGACATGGTAGCCGGCTGAGGGAGATAACGCAAAGTCGCAGCAATAGTATACTTATAGAAAGAGAAAAATTAGAAGATTAGAGGATTAGCTTAGTAGATAAAACTCATGTTTGTAATTCATATATCACACGTTTCCTCTACCACATGAATCGGGAAATGAAACTCATCCCCAAAACCAATCAATTGAATTAGTATCCTATAAAGTAGGACTCCAAAACACTCATGCGCATTAGAATAGCTATCGAAAACCAACAAAAACACTCATACGACTACATGCAAGGATATAAAGTAAAAAAAAAAAAAAAAAAAAAAAAAAAAAAAAAAAAAAGGTAAAATTATAAGCAAATTATTTAGTGGTTGGGCGGGAGAATAGTTGAGGCAAAATCTCCTGGCTATATTGGTATAAGGATTGAGGGGCTAATGTGCTTACATGAATAATTGAGGAGGAAAATGTGCTCTTAACATATAATTCAGAGGGAAAAAGTGTCATTTTCCTTAAAATTAATTAGTAAAAATCAGGTTGTCAATCAATTATTTTGGGGTCTGAACAAAATATTTGTCAATATTACCAACCACCAATCGAAGTGGTCAAGGACCACCAATGCAGACAGTCAAAAAATCAAACAATCCCTTAAAAGTGAGTGGTTAAGGGGGTAAAATATTATTCTCGTACTAGAAGGTCATGAGTTCAATTCATGCTAATACTCTTTTGTACATGGTTTACCTGATTTACAAGTTATTATACATGAACGAGGTTTTGGCAAATGTTTTGTTGGAAGGTATACACCTTTCAAAACTTGGTGGTTTTTGCTTATAGAACCACTTTTTTTTTTTTTTTTTAAGAAGTTGAAATTTCTAATCACCTAACGAGGTGTAGTTAAGAAAATTAAAATTTTCGTAAATTGTTCTTACTTTTTGGAGTTAAAAATACCCGATTTTATTAGAAGTGGTATGTCTATATGCAATCGTTATACCCAGCACCACGGCGCATAGTGCACTGTGCGCCCCGCGCCTCCCAAAACGACGTCGTTTTGAGAGGCACGGTAGGAAGTTGACATGATTATGTATATTTGTTTATACAATTATGTATATTTTTTATTATGTACATTTTTTATACAATTATGTACAATTTTTTTATACAATTATGTACGTTCGAATTAGAAAATTTGTGTATTATGTTAAGAGTTGATGTGTATTATGTTAAAAGTTTATGTTTATTATGTATTATGTTAGATTATGTGTATTATCTTTTAAAAAAGAGTATGTGTATTTTGTTATATAATTATGTACATTCATGTATACAATTATGTGTATTCTAGTATAACATTATGTACATTTTTGAACATGAAATTTTTTTTTAAAGGAAAATTAACTGTCAAACACTGGGTAGCGAAATTTCAAAAAAAAAAAAAAAAAATTGAAATGACGTCGTTTTGCATCTGGGCGCACAATGCAACGCACGCCGTGGCGCAGCATATAAATTGCCGTCTATATGTATGTTAGTATAATAGTATATAGCATTGTTTAATGTTAATTGTTTGTCGTATAATATACACTTAGGTTATTATTATTATTATTATTATTATTATTATTATTATTATTATTATTATTATTATTTTTTGGAATTATTACAGTTGAATCTAATTAAAGCAATGATGGGCATGCATGTTAGGTCATATGACTCATGTGGTCAACCGGTGATATTTAATTAATTATCCCCCTTCTTGTTACGTTTAACCCATTTCATCTCTATTAACATATGATAGTTAATATGTAAACTGCTAACTTTTAATACTCATATTAATAATATTTTAAGTTAATTCTTTTTTCTCGAATAAGAATAAAACTTTGTAAATGTAAGTGCAATTGAAACCAAATTCGAATTTCCCAGTGGCAGTGTTTCACCACAAGACATCACCTAAATCTCATCGATCGATTAAAAGCAGTGTTGTTTGACCTAGTCTATAATTATGCGTGGAAACACAATGATGAACGTAACACTGACGGTGTGTATCATGCGACGGACTGTGGATAATGCATGAATCACCGCACGTTGCAAAAACCACAACTTGATAATCTAAATCATCCTTAATTGGCCCAAACTGCGGAGTCATTAGTTTTTTTTTTTTTTTTTTTTTTTTTTTTTTTTTTTTTTATAACTCGCAATCACTATCTCAAAATATATACTGCATAAATTATGATTCGGTGTAATAACTCACAAATCATGAAGTAAATTGTACTAAGAAGACCACGTAGATCGGACGGGATTGATCGAAAAAATATTTGACAAGAATTAAACTGATGATTTTTAGATAAGAGAAATATACTCCATTCGATCATCTTTTCAGATAGGAATAAGCTTTTTGTCTTTGGTGTGACCGTGTGAGTGGACAAGTGCCAAAAAGCAACGTGGTGGTGGACGTTGACTTTAACATGCAATGGTGTTTTAATTACATATATATGTATATTGGGTGCAATTCTATTGTATGTATCCGCCCTACGTGCCATCCCTCCTAACTTGTATTACTTTATTTGTGTTGATGATTAGGAAAAATAACAAATCCATTATTCCACCAACTTGAACCAACTGCACTCTCCCCACTAATCCAATCAACAAAAGCAGTAAAGCACACAACATTCTTGTAATCAAAAGGCTAAAAAGTAAACCCATTGGATTTAGAGGCTAATATAATTATAAATTTAAAATTTTAACTATGTGTCATGTTAATAAAGAATATTAGGTCTGATTTTTTTAGTATGAGCTAAAAGCATGACTTGTGTTGAATCTAGAGTTGTTAATTTATTAGACAAAAACATATATATATATATATATATATATATATATATATAATAGAACTTGGTATTAAATAACTACGCTAAGTTGAAATTTACCTATAATAAAAATTGTATATTCTAATTTCTTTTAACAAGAAAAGTGAAGAGTTCTCGTTCCTAAATTATAGAGAAATAGTACGTTTGGTTCACCTATTATAGTCGCATTGTTGTTACTTTCCATTCCTCAATTATTTATGAGGTGACGTTTTTGTCATTTAATCTTGTTAGATTTGGTTAAAAAAATCATTTCACAAATAATCAAGAGATAAATATTATTACTTTTTTATAATTTAAGAACAAAAAAGTATTATTTTTTAAAAAATAAAATATAAAAAATGGCACTTCGATCTCACCCATCATGAATGATAGAAAAACAGCATTTTTGTTCAATAATTATGTCTTTACCAGATTGTATACGAAGTGGCATTTTAACTAAACCCTAATTAAAATATAGCGATAAAAATAGTTCTATTTGTCTTATTTTATATTTATTATTTATTGATCAAATTAATTTTTTTCTTCTTTGTTAATTTTTAAAGTATTTTATTTTATTTTTTATTTAATTTTTTTATTTAATAAAATTTTTAATATAATTTCTAAACATATAAATTTTATATAATACTGTATAATATTAAATTTAACATTATGAAAATTATAAATTAGAATAACTTCAGTTAAGAATCGTTAATCAACTCAGACACCTAAAATATAACGAATAGAGTATCGCTTTGGAAACACTTTAAGGATGAAAAGCTATAATAAATGTAAATGAATGAGTAAAAATGTCATTTTCTTGAAAATGTTATTGTGTACGTAACTACTTACTCCCCAAAATTATAATTTTCATGAGTATTCATACATAGTGCGTTTCAAGGAGAAATGATACAATTCTCAAAAAAAAAAAAAAAAAAAAAAAAAAAGGAGAAATGATACACACACATACATAGAGTATTAAAGAACAGTAGTGACACATGTGTGAGAGAGGAGACAAAACAGGACCCACCAATGATTTGGTATGATGGGCATTTGATTCCGTGGGGGAGTGATGATTATGGAGCGTCGAAGATGGCAATGATGGAGGCTAGAATTTTTTGTGCCGATAAGGTTTCAACTTTCAACAACGTTTGTTGGCCTTTTTAGTCCCTTTTAGGTTTTTTTTTTTTTTTTTTAATATCAAAGAAATATGTATCTGTTATTTGAAGATGTGCATTTGATAAATCTTATTTTATATAATACAGAGTAATATATAAATCACACATGACAAACAAATAGCATTATAAAATCCTGTACGACAAATTCAATTAAAAAATTATTATAAATACCTAAAATTATAATTTTAACTACGAAAATCATACTTCACCCAGTTTTATTTTCGGATGCTTTTATAATTTTGGTTGCTGTCTTTACGGTCAGCCGACCAAGGTTGATTACAGTAGTTAGCAGCCACAACCCTCCAATGTTGTCCCCACTTTACTTTCTTTAGCTCCCTCATTTCCCATATTTTATGGAGATAATCCTCATCATTGTCAATTTATTTTATTTTATTTTTTTAATTTTTAGGGTGTGTGTGCAGTGTCATCGCGAATAAATTCCTTATTTTC